AGCCTAATGAAGCACCAGCATCTCCCCTATCCCCAGATTGAGAGTCCTGGAGTTTGGTTGGAGTGCCAAAGAGAGAAGAAGAAGGGACACAGAATGAGCAACATCTAATGTCTGTATAAACCTTCATTTCATCCCAAGTCTGCAGTAAACTGTACTCTCTACTGCATACTCAAATGTCTCATGCGAGATTTGGAGAGATGAGGAATAGAAGGAGGATGTCACCAAACAACAACAATGACAACAACAAAAAAGAGCTAAGGTTCATATTGGGTCAGACAGAACACAAGGAAGAAATTGCAAATGAGACATTGGAAACCAGAACTGGAGCCAAGAGACCAAGAGACTATATGACAATATGAGCTTCTAGTGCCCCTGCTTCCCCAGCATGGCAGAGGGCAGAGATGCCTCCTCAGAATGGGTGGGGCAGGGGAGCGGGGGTGAGTGGGTGAAGGGCCAGATATTTCTTAAGTTTTGAAAGACAAAATCATCTCTGCTGACATCTGGGTTTTTGTATTGAATATTTTCACCTCCTACAATCTACTTTTTCAGGGTCTTGTCATTACTTCTATCTCTATTTTGCTGCTCTATAGGGAGTCAGCTACCCAACAGAGAAAAACACCATAAATGAATTTACTTCTCCTGTGGAACTAACTTCTTGAGCGCTTTTCATTGGTCATCAGGGGCCCATTGACACTAATGTCAAACAATGTTATCAAAGAAATCTGCATATTTAAGTTGTACGAGTTCTTTAAACATTCCTATCTGCCCAGTGACATCCAAAGAGACAGAGAAAATAGAAAAATGTATGCATATCTGACAACCCAGGAATGAATGAAAGCAGGTATCCATTAGCAAGTGTGTTATACATAATAAATGAATAAAGAAGTGGGTGAGAGAGTGAATGAATAAACCTACTCTTCAAAAAATCCTTTCCAAGAATAGAACATGTTTCTTTTTAAGTATTTCCTTCTGTTCCTAATTGAGCAAAATCTGCTGATCTGCTCTGATCTGCTTTTCAAATCCTGGTCATATCAATTTGCATTTAAATTATGTACCCAATATGATCTCCTCACTGGTCTTGAGTTAAATGCCAAGGAGAGGATTTATGCTCTCAGCTGGATTTAATGTAGGAATCAAGGAACCTTCTTGATTATTTTCTATAAGGCCCTGCTTGCCCCAGCACTCTCAGGTGCAGGCTTGGATGCCCCTAATCTACATGCTTAGAGTCGCCATATTCCTGAGATGATTTTGACGCACCCCCCCCACCAGCTGGTGGGGCCTAGACACAATCTTGTCATTTGTCGTGAGTCTCAGGTGGGTCTTAGCAACGCAAGTGTCACAATGCTACTGCATACCCCAATATACCATGTTTACTATCTGTACTTGACCTCCTCCTGCTTGCTCAGAGTTATGCTCTGACTTATGATCCATTTGGCCAGAGCCCCCGACTCTTCATCTGGATCCTAGCAGCACTTTTTCATTTTCCCCTGCACCTCTAAACTCAGGCTGGGCAGGGATTGGAATAAAGAGAACTCTGAAACTTATGATTCTCTCCCTTCCTGACGTTAAGTGCTAGCATTGCCTGGAAACAGTTCCCATCCCACAGAGTGACCTCCCTAAAATATAAACATGGAAGTGAGCCAACAGTCTTAAAATGACATCCTTGTTTATCTAGGCAGATGGGGTGTGAGTGGGGCTAATATCAATCTGGTTGGCAAGGCAAGGCACCAGACAGTAACATTCAAAGTCAGGTAGTTGCCATCTGTAGCAGTAGCTTAGTTTGAGACCATCTGTTCATTCTTGGCAGGTATGATGGCAAGGTCTCAACTCTTGGGAAAGAATAGATAAGAGCTAGACCTTACTTAATTGGGCTGGGGTTCAAGGGAGGACTCCAGTTCTAATAGGCTAACAGCTTGCCAGACAGGAAAACTCAAATGGGTACCTGCTTCTATAGACTAGTTCAACACAGGTTAGAGAAGAAGAGGACAGAGCATTGCAAACTCTGGGTCTCAAAAAACTAGTGATTTTGAAATCAATTTGGAGGATCTCTGCAAGCATTTTTTTTAATGAAATAAATTAATAGAATAAAAAAACAGAAAGTATCAAAGGATGTTGACTGTAGTAAAGGGAAGTGTGTTTCATGGAAGTTTGCTTCAATTATATATGTTCGTATAGGCACTGTCTCTTTGAGATGATATATGAGAACAAGGGGAACTGGGGGATAAAGAGAGTGATTCATTTTCATTTTTAGTTTGAAGTGTTTACCATAGCAGGATGGAAATGCAAGCACCAGAAAAATATTTGCAATAAATATAATGGACAGAAGCTTAATATTCAAAATAAATAAATCTTACAAGGAAACCACAATTGCACAAAGATGAGTATGTTATTTATTACAGCATTGTTTGTGATCATAACAAACTGGGGAAAATACCTATTAATGAAAAACTAAATGGTTCATACAACTTTAAACAATTACACAGCTATTAAAAATAATGAAGATCTACATGTACCTACATAAAAAGATATCTAAGATGTATCTTTCAATTAGAAAGTAAGTTCCAGAATGATAGGTATGTTATAATATCAATTTTGTATAAATGACAATTTATTTATTCAATAAATATTTATTGAGCTCCTACTAAGTTCTGGACACCATTTTAACTATTGAGGATCCAGTAAAGAATAAAACAGACAAAATTACTGACTCTGTGAGTCTTAGGTTCTAACGGTGGAGACTAAAAATAAAGAAAATAAATAAGTTTTCTAGGGTAGAGGAGAAATGTATAATGAAGAAAAATCAGAGAAGGAGAGTAGAGAGTACTGGTCAATGGAGCTCACAATTTTAAATAGGGTGATAGAGAAGATCTCCCGCAAAACGGTGATATTTGCGCAGACTTGAAAGAGGAGAGAGAACAAGCCATTTGGATTCTGGAAGAAGAGTTTTCCAGGCAGAGGAAACAGCAAGTCAATGGCTCTGAGGAAGGAAGATGCCTTGGCTGTTAAAGGAACAGTAGAGGCCAATGTGGCTGGAACAGAATGAGCATTGCTTTCAAGTTGAAAAATATACATATATACATATATAATAAATACTTAGACTCCATAAGCAAGCAGACAATAGCTATGACTAAATAGTTCACATAAGAAGAAATATAACTTAAAACCAACATTTAGAACATTTATAGCTTCTCTAATGCAAAAATCAAATATTCAGGTCAGGCATTCTTCCCAATATGTTCCCTTGTCACATGCCTGCCATGCAGTTTTGGAAGTGTTTGTATCCCCAACTAGTCTGTGAGCCTGGTGAATGTAGACACTGTTTCTGTGTCTGTTGTGTTTACAGTTTTATCTCTGAAGTCTAACACTGTTCCTGGCACTCATGAGCACTCATAATGGCCTGCTGTTATATGTTGCTTATCAAATGCCAGGAACAGTTTTAAGCACTTGACTCATTTAATTTTCATGCCTTTGAGGTTAGTACCTCTGTTGCGCCTTTTTAAACATAGAGTACTGAGGTACAAAGAAAGAAGGTAACTTACTGAAAGTCATGTCAGAGCAAGAATTTGAACCCGGGTAGTCTGGTGCCCAAGTCCTTGACGTAAACCATTATAATGCTTTTTAATAAATACACACAATAAATTCATGAGATATGAGGTAAAATTTAATGTTTATCAGGTTAACCAAAATAAAAGGAATAAAACCCCTTGCTGGAGAGTCTATGGAAAACAGGCACACTGGTCCATCCCTCACAGCACAGGGACTTAGAATCTTCCAGTAGTCAGTCTATACTGACTTAAAATTATTCAATCTGTTTACCCCTTCAATATACAACTTCTTTTAGTAATGCATATGGATATAACAAAACACAAAGAAAGTTGTTTGAATAATGATATTCAAATCTGCTTCACCATTTACAGTAGAGAATGCCCTTGTTTGAGGATTGGGTTTTGCAAAATATAAGGTAAGCATGTAAAATGATGATGTTTAACTATTTAAATGATGACTATTAAATGATAACTTTGTGATCTATATTTGTATAGCCAGATGTGCATATGAAATAAAGCCAAGTGGAAAAAAAACCAAATTAATATGTACACAGGCATTAAAACTATATGTTATATTTTTGCAAGGATAAGTAAGGATCAAGAGATTTATGTCAATAGCTAGCTCTGTTAATACAATAAACTCTTTGTGCTTTTTTCCCATAAAAAATTTTTTTAATGTGTAATAACAGTGAGGTATGTCATCCCTTAATAAGGTTGAATTCATAAGGCAAGTTCTTTAAAAGTCATTTCCTCTAAGAACTAACTCTGAAGTGTTGGTAGCTACCAAGATGTACACAGCCAGCCTGGGGTTAGGACGGTAGAGCAGTTCTTCCAGCCCTGCTCCTAGGTATAAAGATTTTAATTATGTCTTTCTAAATCAGAATCTCCAAGCATCTGTATTTTGAGTAAAAAACTCTTAAGGAAATTCTGATAAACAGTTATATTTGAGAATAATTGCAATGATACTTGGACAAATTTAAATATATAGTATATACTTAGAAACATTCAGTGTGCCTGTTTTTTCATAAGCCCTTTAATAAAGAATTAAAACCTTTTATTTTAGCTAACTTGATAGGTATAAAGTATTTTTTAGCTGATACATTTGTCGAGCATATTTATTAAAAGACATCATTAAGGTGCATACTTTTTAAAAAGCAGCAGGAAAAATGCTAGCAAAATATTAGAAATGATCTAAATATCCACGATTTTCAGATAGATTTTCAATTATCAAATAGATAATTGTACTTCCACACAATAGAAAACTATGCTGCTATTTAAAAAAAAAGAAACAGAACTCTATGTACAAATAGGAAATGTCTCAAAGATATATTATTAAAGATAAATGTGAACTACAGAACAGTGTGTCCATTATGTTACAGTTATACCCCAACTCCCACTCCAGTTTGTATACTTAGACTATCTCTAGAAGGAAACACCAGAAACTGGTAACAGTAGTTGTCTCTGGACTTGGTTTATTAAAGTTACAGTGATTAGGTAAAAAGGTAGATTAACTTTTTATTATACACCTTTGCATGTATTAATTCTTATATAATAAAATATTAGCAATTAGGTACAAACGGAATCCCAATCTACCTCACTGTTATTGTTAAATCATCTGGAATGTCAATCCAGATCTAAGTTTGATACTCACTACTAATCTTTTGTGGGCCTCATTCACTTCACCACTTTGGTTTCTTGGGCTGTTGTGTTGATCTTTCTTCCAGTGTTCAGCATTTAATTAGTTGTTTGTCCTATTTTCTCTCTGGAATGTATCTGTTCCTGTATCTTGAAGCATTTTCATTTCTGCTACCTGCGGCTTCCTGGTGGTGTAATCAAGAAGAGAAAAGGCATTTGTTCTCTTTCCACTGACCTAATGAGGTCAGAGAGACACCCACCAAAGCAAATAAACACACACACACACACACACACACACCCCAGAGTCCAGTACTCTCAGAATAGTCAGCACCATCTTTTCTTATGATCTCATCCAATCATGGATTTCTTTTAACACCCTGAATCTCTTCTAGCAGGCCTCACAAATCCTAACAAGTATAGACACTTTTGTGCAATGGAATTTCTTTATTGAGCAGTGAAGTGCCAAAGATTTACAATGAATGACTGCTAAAGATTACCTGAAGAAAATGTTGAGGGCATTTTAAACACAATTTGAACATAAAATATTTCTGTAAAAATATAGTGGTATATCCAAATCCATCGAATGTACAATGTCAAGAGTGAACCCTAATGTAAACTATGAACTTTGGGTGATAATGTGCCAATGTAGGTTCATCGATTGTAACAAATGTGCACTCTGGTGGAAGAGGGTTGTATGTGTAGTAGTAGGGAGTATAGGGAAGTCTCTGTACCTTTCTTTTAACTTTGCAGTCAATCTAAAACTGCTCTAAAAACAAAAGGCCTTTTTTAAAAAGATGGAATCTAGTTGATAAAGTGAGGAACAAAACTACAGAAATTTTGGGTCTTAACAAACCTTTGAAAAGTTTGAAAAAATAGTGGTATATTGAATTGCTTGTACGTAACACTGTATTTAAGCTTCAAATACATAGTTTGTTTATGATTTCCCTTCTTTGAGGCAACATGTCATGGCTTCAGATTATCACAGAACAATCATAACCATAAGGAAACTGAAGAGGTCAGCTGGTTTCTTCCCTCATGAAGGAGAAAATCACTGCCGCACTGCTCATAGCATGTGGCTCTCTGGAACTTCTAGAAAGGCACTTTCTCCCAAAGCAACCAATTCCAGTTCTTAATGGTTTTCACTGTTATGGAATGTTTTTTGTTTTTGTTTTGTTTTGTTTTAATGTCAAATCGTGTTCTGTCTTCTGTAATTTTTACCCTCTGATTCTTATTTGCCTTTTACCTAGGAAAAAAAATTAGTATGATCCTGATAGGGAACAGTACATTCAAACGGATGACTAAAGAGAGTTTAGACTTTTTGCAAAGATGCTTTTCCCTTTAATATTAGGAACAAGACAAGAATGGTCATTCTATATTCAGCATTGTATTGGAGCTTCTAGTCAGTACGATAAGACAAAAAAAAAAAAAAGACATCTGGATTGGAAAGGTAGAAATAGAAATCTCATTTCTTATAGCAAGGTATACTAATGATGAATTCTTTCAACTTCCAGCTTTTGAGTGTCTGAAAAATTCTCTATTTTAACCTTTGTTTTTGAGATTTTCCCTGATATAGAATTCTAGGTTGTCAGTTATTTTTTTCCTTTCAGTGCCTTAAAGATGTTGTTACACTTTCCTTTCGCTTGTATCCAATAAGAAATTTCCTGTCATCCTTATCTTTGTTTCTCTATATGAAACGTATCTGACTTTTTTAAAGTTTTTCTCTTTATCACTTGTTTTGAACAATTTATTATGTATTATGTGTCTTTATGAAGTTTTCTTCATGTGCCTCATGCTTAGGGTTTGCTGAGCTTTTTGGACCAGTGGGTTTATGGTTTTCATTAAATTTGGAAAAATTTGGGCCATATTTCTTCAAATATTTTTCTGTTGTTCTCCACTCTTTTAGGAAATCTAATTATTACTTAAGCTTCCTCACAGCTCGCTGATGTTTAATCAATTTTTTTTCATTTCTCTTTTCTCTCTTTGTTAAATTTTAGGTAGCTTCTATTGCTATAGCTTCAAATTCACTTATCTCTTCTGCATCTAATCAGCTGTTAATCACATCGCTTGTGTTTTTCATCTCACACATTGTACTTTTGATCTTTAAAAGTTTAATTTCATCCTTTTTTAAAATAACTTTTATGTTTCTACTTCAATTTTTGAATCTGTGGAATATCATTTAAATATCTTTATCCAATAATCCTAAAAATCTATATCAGTTGGGTTGGTTTGGTTGATTTATTTATCTTTTCACAGTAGGTTAAAATATCTTGCTTTTTTGATTGCATGGTAATTTTTATTGGATTTCAGACATTGAGAGTAATAATGATATGAAAACACACTTCACACACACACACACACACACACTCCTATGCAATTTCTCCATACAGAGGGAGACATTGCTTAAATATTAGTCTTTGTCGGTCCATTCTCTAGGATACTAAAATATTTTATAACCTTGGGGTTTTTTGTAGTTTATATGTTGAGTTTTTAAATCATGTGCTATTATTGGTGGTTTCTTTTTTCTAATAATGCTGTAAGGACTGAGTTGTGGTTGATGGAATCACTGTTTATTGATGAATGACCTGAATGAGACTAACTGTTCATCCTTTTATGAAATCTGCCTGTTCTCTTTACTGATTCTTTAAATGATTTTACATGATTCTCTTGAAGTATTTACTTGCTTGTAGTAGCAGGTTGACAAACTAATGACTTTTTCATCCTGTATGGTCACTTGAAATTAGTGAATAGTTTGAAGGACAATTTCCAATGGCTTTAAACTTTCTGATCTTCAGTATGCAGTTAAGAGAATAAATAATAAATGTTACTTATTATTTATCTATTATATACAATATAAAATAATATAATAATTAATTAATTGATAACAATAATAAATAATAAAACTTAGACTGCAAGAATGGTGTGAGGATTAAATTGGGTAGTAGTATGTGATAGCCTGCCTAGCAGAATGCTGGGCATCTAGAAGATCCACCATGAATATGAGTTCCTCTATTTTGGGGGGGCAGGTGCTGTGAAATTTTGTAAATGTTTCCCTGTTTGTAGCCCTTTTCTCTGAATTCTGCTCTAAATCAAGCCAATCATGAAGAATTTTTAGATTGTATATCTATTTGAGAAAGCTCATATGCTTCTGCCTGGCATATCTCTTTTGGTGCCCTTCTTAGTTTAGACATGATGTCACCTGCCTTTTAGGCTATGTGGTCTTTGCTGAGCAGACGAGACATTAGCTTAGAGCCGCGGTTCTCAAAGCAAGGTTCCCAGGTACCTGAGAATTTGTTAGAAATGCAAATTTTCAGGCCCTACTCCAGATGTACTGGATGAGAAACTCTAGAGGTAGGACCCAACAGCCTGTTTTAAAAGACCCTCTGGGTGATTCTGATGAATGATGAAGTCGATAATTAATATTGGAGCAATAGATGGAGGAAGATGCCAACTGCAGGAGCTCCTAACGGCTGAAATAGCAGTCTACATTTATAGCTTTGACTCCATTGCTACAATTTACTCCTTATCTCTTCATCATTTGCAATCTGACTCCAACTTCACTGGAATTATTTTCTTAAAGATTATCAGACCTCTACCTAACTGATAAACTCAGTAACCTCTTAAGAATTTCGTTCTCCAGGAGCTTTCTGCTACATTTGATGTGACTGATTTTATCTTCTCCTTTCTGCAATAATGTCTAGCTTTGGCAGACCCAACATTAAACACATCGAATTTTCCTCATACCCTCTGAGCATGCCTCTCTCTCTTTCTGGGAGATTCTTCTTCCAAATACCTATTGTTTGTGGCCATTGTTAAAGATTTTGTTCTTAGTTGTGTCTTTTTTTTTTGGTCTAGACGTTCTTCAACATTCTCGTTCTCTGGGGAAAGCATCAAGTATCTCTGTTGATGACTAACAAATCTTCATTTCACCTTTGCACTCTAAATCCAAAGTACTAAAACATGTCGAAACTGCTTCTAGATACCTTCAGGTCTTCAAATTCAACATGTCCCCAAAACAAATGCTTCATTGTCACCTTAAAGTCCTCCCCTGAACTTCCTGACTCTGTTAACAGAACCACCACTCTCTCAGTCATCCAGGCTAGAAATCTTTCTGCCTTTGACTTTTTCCAATATGTCTCTATATTATAACTAGCGGAAATATATATGTATATATATATTATATATATATTTATCTATTTATATATGAAGACTTAAAAAGAGTTGTACTGGATGAGATGTACAGAGACAGTGAAATAGGAAAAAGCTGGGAATTAACTCCTAATCATAAGTGATCTGGAGGAAGAGAAACCAATGAAAAAGTATGTTAGCAGTCAGTCAATCCGTGGATTGTAAGTCTCATTGATAATGCCTCAGGTGTGTTCACGTACCTTGTGTCTTTTGTCCTGGATTATTGTAATAGCCTCCTAAATGTAAAGCCTTGGGCTAGGTTTTCAAAATCTACCAGTACAAGTCAAGGCAGGAGAGATGTGAGCAAGCAGTAGAACATTGCAGGGGGCAGAGGGAGTGGGAAGGAAGGTAGTTAGTTGATGATTAGATGAATATGAGGCATTAGTGTGAAGTGGACCTCAACAAAGTGCTATCTTGGGTCACACTATAAGACCTAGAACAAAAGAGGTGATTTGATCTCTCTGATTAGAGGGTGTTATGAAGTTGGGAGTATTACTATTCTTGCAATAACACATTAAAAGAATAGAGACAAAACGGAATTTATATGAGAGAGTAGTCTGAATAGTGAAAGGCCCCAAAATTACATCTCATGAGGGATTATTGAGCAACTGGAGATATTCAACTTGGAGAAAATAGAGGAGCGGTAGTATATAGTTGTCTTCATAGATATAAAAGACTATCCTGTGAAGTCACCTAAAAATTTTATAAATGTCACAGAGTTGTCCTGAGATAGAAACGTATTGATTTCAACAAATAGTTATGGTATGTCTGCTCTGCGCTAGGCACTGAAAATACATGATAAGCAAGACAATCTCTACCCTAGAACTGACAGACAGACAATAAGTGGATAAACAGATAAATAAATGAGCAATGTAATTCCAGAAGGTGATGAGCTGAGCTGCTTAGGAGATAATAATGTATCTGTTGCTAGGAGTAAGTGAACCTAGCTTTGATGATCACTGGTAGGAAGGTTTCAGAAGGGATTTAGGCATTGGATGGG